ATGAGCTGAATATTTCTTCTTCAGGGCCAGTAGTGCTAGCTCCCAGGCTGTCTCCTGGTCAATTTTTCATTCAATACAATAAAAAATAATCTAAATGACAATATAACATCATTTTGCCTGTTTTCCTCACATAAACTCCTTATGTACCATTTATGACATTCCTAAAAAATCTTAAATATAATTACTTATTGGTTAAAATTTAGATTTTATAAATTGTTTCATTTAGGCCTTCTATAATCACATGTTAGCTGTTTTATGTGGCCCCCGAGGACAGATTCAAAACCATTATGAACTACACTATTGTCAGCCTTTTCCAAACTTACCAGTGGTTTACAGTGATACAGCAAAAAAGTCAGTACCTAAAATGTCTTTGAAGAGAACTGCTAAACTACTTACCATATTTCCACTTTTGGATAAAATTTTATTTCTCCTCAAATCTATATCTTTAAGCTTTTATTTATGCCCTACCAAATAGGGGAGGTAGTTTCTATAAGCACAAATATTTAGTAGAGTTAAAATTTAGGATATTAGAAAATGTCAGTGCTTCTGGATTTAATAGGCCTTTGGGTCAAAGATTAAATAAAAAGCAAATTTTTTTAATTAACTAAAATGCATGCTTTATTCATATTTCTTTAGTTTTTACCTAATATTCTTTTTCTGTTTCAAGATCCCATTCAGGATACCACATTAAATTTAGTCGCTGTGTCTCCTTAGGCTCCTCTGGGCTCTGACAGTTTCTCAGACATTTATTTGTTTTTGATGACCTTGACAGTGTTTTTGTTTTTATTTTTTGGGGAGGAAGGGTCTTGCTCTGTCTCCATGCTTAGAGTGCAGTGGCGTCATCACAGCTCACTGCAACCTCAAACTCCTGGGCTCAAGTGATCCTCCTGCCTCAGCCTCCCAAGTAGCTGGGACTACAGGTGTGCACCACCACGCTCAGCTAATTTTTCTGTTTTTCGTAGAGACAGGGCCTCACTATGTTGTTCAGGCTTGTCTTGAACTCATGGTCTCAAGCATTCCTCCCCTCTCAGGCTCCCAAAGTGCTAAGATGACAGTGTGAGCCACCGTACATGACCTTGACAGTTTTTTGAGGCATATAGATCAGGTATTTTGTAGAGTGTTCCTCAATTGCAATTTAAGAATATGTTCTATGTTTTGAATACCAATCCTTTATCAGATGTGTTCTGCAAAGATTTTCCTCCCAGTTTATGCCTTGTCTTTTCTTTTTTTAATTTCTAATTATTTATATGTATATATTTTGCTTTTATTATTTTTAATTGACCATAAGTGTACATATTTATGGGGTACAGTGTGATATTTTGATACATGTATACAATGTGTAATGATCAAATCAACATATTCATCACCTCAAACATTTATCATTTCTTTGTGTTGGGAAGAGTCAAAATCTACTCTTTTAGTTATTTGAACCTATACAATAAATTGTTAGTTATAGTCACCCTACAGTGCTATAGAACAGTAGAACTTACTCCTCCTATATAGCTGCATTTTTGTATCTGTTAACTAACCTTTGGCTGCCCCCATTGTCTTCCCAGCCTCCAGTAATCATTCTACTCTCAACTTCAATGACATCAACTTTCTTCCACACGTGAATGAGAACATGTGGTATTTGCCTTTCTGTGCCTGGCTTATTTCACTTAATGTAATGTCCTTCATGCTCATCCGTGTCATTGTGAATGACAGGATTTTGTTCTTTTTATGGCTGAATAGTACTCTATTGTGTATTATACCACATTTTCTTTATCCACCATTGTTTTTTTTTTTTTTTCCTTGAAACAGATTCTCTGTCACCCAGACTTGAGTGCAGTGACATCATCATAGCTTACTGAAACCTCAAACTCCTGGGCTCAAGTGATCCTCCTGCCTCAGCCTCCCGAGTAGCTATAGGCATGCACCACCATGCCTGGCTAATTTTTTCTATTTTTAGTAGTGACGGGGTCTCACTCTTGCTCAGGCTGGTCTTGAACTCCTTACTTCAAGTGATCCTCCTGCCTCGGCCTCCCAGAGTGCTAGGATTACAGGTGTGAGTCACTGGGCCCAGCTTCCATTCATCTGTTGATGGAAATTTAGGTTGATTTCATATCTTGGATAGTGCTACAATAAACATGGGAGTGCAGCTATGTCAACATACTGATTTCTCTTCCTTTGGATATTTCCCTAGTAGTGGGATTGCTGGATCATATGGTAGTTCTATTTTTAGTCTTTTGAGGAACCTCTATACTGTTTTCCATAAAGGCTTTACTAATTTACATTCCCACCAACAATGTATAAGAATTCCCCTTTCTCTGCATCCTTACTAGCATTTGTTATTTTTTATCTTTTTGATCATGGCCTTCCTGACTATGGTGAGATTATACCTAATTGTGGTTTGGGTTTGTATTTCCCTGATGATTAGTCATGTTGAGCATTTTTTCACATACCTGTTGGCCATTTGTGTGTTTTCTTTTAGAGATGTCTATTTAGCACATTTGCCCATTTTTACTTTTTTTTTCCCCTGTTGAATTGTTTGAGTTCCTTGTATATTCTGGATATTAATCCCTGTTGGATGACTAGAATCCCTTGTTAGATGAATAGTTTACAAATATTTTCTTCCATTCTGCTGGTTGTCGCTTCACTCTGTTTATTTTATTTTATTACTTATTTATTTATTTTGCTGTGCAGAAGCTTTTTAGTTTGATATAATCCCATTTGTCTCATTTTGCTTTTGTTCCCTTTTTCAGTCTTCTCCATAAAATCTTTGCCCAGACCAATATCCTAAAGTGTTCCCTCTGTGTTTCTTCTAGTAGTTTCACAGTTTTCGTTTCTACATTTAAGTCTTTAATCCATTTTGAATTGACTTTTGTATAGAGTGAGAAATGGGGGTCTAGTTTCATTCTATATCCAGTTTTGCCAGTATCATTTATTGAAGAGACCATCCTTTCCCCAATGACTGTTCTTGGTGGTTTTGTCAAAAATCAGTTGGCTGCAAATATGTGGGTTTATTTCTGGGTTCTCTATTCTGTTTCATTGTTATATGGGGCTGTTTTTATGCTAGTACCATGCTGTTTTGGTTACTGTAGCTTTGTAGTGTATTTTAAGGTCAGATAATGTGCTGCCTCCAGCTTTGTTCTTTTTGTTGTGGATCGCTTTGGATATTTGGGGTCTTTTGTGATTACATATGAGTTTTAGGATTTTTTTTTCCTATTTCTGTGAAGAATGTTGTCAGTATTTTGATAGGGGTTGCATTGAATCTATAGATCACTTTTGGCAGTATGGTCATTTTCATAACATTCTTCAAAGCTATGAACATGGGATATCTTTTCACTTTTGTATGTCTTCATCAGTTTCTTTCATCAGTATTTTGTGCCTTTCCTTGTAGAGATCTTTCACCTCCTTGGTTAAATTTAATCTTAACTATTTTAATTTTTTGTAACTATTGTAAATGGGATTGCCTTCTTGATTTTTCCCCTACTAGTTCATTATTGGTGTGTAGAAATGTTACTGATTTTTGTATATTGGTTTTGTATACTGCAACTTTACTGAATCATTTATCAAGTTCTAAAAGTTGTTTGGTGGTGCTTTTAGGGTTTTCTATATATAAGATCATGTCATCTGCAAACAGGGACAATGTGACTTCTTCCTTTCCAATTTCGATGCCCTTTCTTTCTCTTGCCTAATCACTCTGGTTAGGACTTCCAAAAACACGCAAAAATTTCCATTATAATAAATCTAGAATTGCAAGTTGAAATTTGAGGAGTTTGCCTCTAAGCTAGATGCTATGAAAGCTAGTTTAGAAAGTCAAATTAAAATCTAGTAGATGAATGAAGGAATTGTATTGTAGCTGTTTAAATGAACCTGAGACTAGCAGCCTGCATGGCCAACTTGTTCCTGCTCTGCTGCCCCTTTCCCCCTGGATTGCTGTCAATTCCTAACTTGGGAGTGATCTCTTGTTGAACTTTCCCTCACTCTGTCTCATCTGTGCAAGATACCCCTTTGTGTTCCACAGCACCTGGCACCTAGCTCTGTTAGGCTGTGTTGTCACTGAAATATGCCTCCCCTCCGCTATAAGCTCCTTGAGTTCAAGAACTGTCTTTTCATCTTTGTGACTGACACATGTCAGTGGGCATAAACAGTTATGAGGCTGTTTGAGCTGTGAAATCATTGACCTCGAAAGCTTTTCTGTTGTATGAGAAAACAAGCAGTCCTTGCCCCTACAATCATAGTTTACTTAGCATCCTATCCATTGGAAAGCATTGTAGTCTAAGAGGACTCAGTTTAGAGTCCTGACTGTGCTTCAGTAGCTGTGTGACCTTGGGTGAGACACTGAATTTGTTTCTGTAGGCTTTAGCCTTGAATCTTTTCAGTGAAAAATTTGGATGATCTTCATGTTCCAATAAAGCTGCAAAGCTCTGTGGCCTAGAAGCAGAGTAGGACAGTGAAAGACTAGTCACCTGGTGGATAGAGCTGAGTCTCTTTCCACCTGACCACTGACTGTCTTAGTAAGCTGTGCTTACTGAGTATTTGCACATGTCTACTGTGCCTGGAAGATTTGTGTATATCATGCTCCAGAGGCAAAACAAATGCTTAAGTAACTTGGGAGAGTGAATATTAAATTAAGTTAGGTATAATTTGTGTTAACTAAATTTTGCTATATTCTCATGTGAAAATCGAATATTCACATATGGTATATGGCATTATTAGGATATAATATTAGACTAATCAAGATACTCCATTTCTTCAACTTTCTGGTTAATAAAGTATTTAAAGTATTTAGGAAAGTTACATCTTGAAAATGGTTGAAATATAGTCAAAAAAGATAATTTGAAGTATGTTTTAGTATTAGTATATTTTATTTTGCTTCAGGAAAGTTTAATAAAGAACATTAACAAAGGCAAAACAATATCATCAATTTAAACTTTTACCTTTTTAACACTTTATTTTCTTCATGGTCAGGGATTCTGATTTTTGATGTTTCTTCTTTTTATCTTACGTACTTTCAGCTCATTTAGAGGCTAGTTTTGAGGAAGTAGAAAACCACCTGCTGCGTCTGGAAGATCTATGTGGGCAGTGTGAATTAGAAAGATACAAACACATGCAGTCCCAGCAACTGGAGAATTACAAGAAAAATAAGAGGTGAGTTTGAAACATTTGCCACAATATTCATTTTCAGTCTCAAAGTTTTCCACATTACTTTTCATGCTGTTCTTTATAAATTCTGCCTGATACTTTTATAAAGGTTCCAACATATAAGGCTCATTAATGAGCTTTCCAAAATGCTTTTTTTTAACCACTTCTGTTGCCATTTTATGGAGATGAGTTATAAAAAGCTCAGAATGGAATAAAATATAAATCCCTAATATAAAGGTGGAGGGAGCAGAATAAAGGGCAAAGTTTTCAAGAAAGTAGGAGCCGCCTCCTAGTTTCCTCCAAGTGGCAAATGAATGTCTTTCTCTTCTCCTTTATTATTAGAGTAGGAGGGAAGGAAATCGAGCCCAGCCTGTGGAAAGGGACTAGATAGGTTTGAATCTCAACTCGGCCGCATACTAGCTGTGGGGCCTTAGGCAAGTTAGTTAAGCTCTTTTAGCCTCAGTGTTATTGGTTTATGATGGGGATAATAGTGTACCCACCTCATAGAGTTGTTGTGAGGATTATATGAGATTATTATTATCTAATTCAATTAGTGCTCGGTAAGTATTAGTTGTAATAATGGTTATTATTCTAGGCCAGCCTGAACTGGAAATAGAAGAGGAGTCTAAGGGTAACAGCCTGCTAGGCTAGCTGTGGCATCCCAAGTCCTGCAGAGGCCATCTCAGACAGGGTTGGAAGGTGTAGGGTGGGTATTTCTGAAGTCCATGAGGAAGTCTATCCATGGTGGCTGATAAGAGGGCATAAGAGTGACTGTCATCTGTGCCAGGCACAGCAGAAACTGAAGCTGGAAGGGGATTTGCTAGATTGAAGAAAACAGAAGTAAGTCATGGGGTTAGAATCTGGCTGGGACTGAAGAGCAGATTTGGTGGGAGCAGAAGATGGATATGTTGGGTAGAGTACACTATGGGTCTTAAGAGTATTGATAAGTCAAGTTACTGTGGGTCTAGTGTGTGACAATAGCAGGAATGGGCTACTGATGTGGACAGGAGGAGCTGCCCACTGATATATCAAAAAAAAAAATCGAAGCTAATGCATGTGTGGCAGGTTATCACACTGATGTTGTAGTCTTCTAGCATGATGCCAAGGGATAGGGCAGAGTCGAAAACTGAGTATTTTAGAGCTGAGGTTCTCAGTCAGGTCCGTGTGTCCTTAGAGTCAACTGGGGAGAGTGTTTAAAATGCAGACTCCTGGGCTCCATCATCAAAGAGTCTAATCCAGAGTTAATTCCAATGGTATTGCTTTAAGCAAGCATTCCAGGTGATTCTGGTATGGGTGGTTCTGGGACTACATTTTGAGGGACTGCAGGGCAGGGCTTGGGGCTGGGTCATGTGCAGGCTCTAGATAGAAGAGCTTCAGAAGAGCTCCAAGGGGGGCCATGGATCAGATGGTTCACAGAAGTTTGTATGTGCATGAATTTTTCTGGAGGTGTTTTCTATAAGTTTCATTTGCCCCACAACGATTACAGGAGGGTGTGCGGCAGCATTAAAAGTGGATCCTCATCGAAGGAAGGACTTTTGAATGACTGGGTGAGCCTTGGCACCTAGGGGATCTCCATACTGATAGGTGGGGTGTGGAAGACAAGCAACTCGCCTCAAGAGGAAGATCGAGGATTAGAGATGATTAGGTTAGGATTCAATGTTAAATAGAAAGACAGGGAGATACTCTGTTGTGAAGAAGTTAGTAGTCATGTAAGTAAGTTTATTATGATGCAACAGAAGTTTCAAGGAATATGGTAGGAAGCCTTGGAATTTTGAAAGAAAATTTTCACAGGAGGTTGGACAGCTTGGATACAGGTGGTATGACATTAGAAGATAGTTTCCTCATCTGTAAAAGGGGGATGGTAATAATAGTGTTGTTTTAGGGATTCAATCTGTAAATGCTTGGAATAGAGCTTGGCACCTGGTGAGTGTTCTGTCAGTGGTGGCCAGCTCTGACTACCTTGTATTATTACTGTGCAACTATAAATAGATGGGTATTCCATATTTTTAATGCCAGTTATGTTTTCTAGACACTTGAATTCAAGAATTAAATGAATATTATGACTTTTCTATCAATATGTATTGAAATTTGATTGTTTGAAACACATTGTTGGCATACATCAGAGAAATTGTGGATTTGCTTCCAGACCACTACAATCTGCAGTAAAACGAGTCACGTGAAATTTTTTTTTGTTTCCCGGTGCATATAAAAGTTATGTTTATACTATAGTCTATTAAGTGTGCAGTAGCATTATGTCTGAAAAAACAGTGTACATGTCTTAATTAAAAATACATTATTGCTAAAAAATGCTAACAAGCATCTGAGCCTTCAAGTCATAATCTTTTAGCTGGTGCAGAGTCTTGCCTCAGTGTTACGACTGCTGATTGATCAGGGTGGTAGTTGCTGAAGGTTAGGGTGGTTGTGGCAGTTATTACTCTGCAGCATGTGATGCTGTTTGATAGCATTCTACCAACAGTAGAACTTTTTTCAAAATTGAAGTTGATCCTCTCAAACCCTGCCTGCTTTATCAACTAAGTTTATGTAATATTCTAACTCCTTTGCTGTCGTTTCAACAGTGTTCACAGTATCTTTATCAGGAGTAGATTCCATCTCAAGAAGCCATTTTCTTTGCCCGTCCGTAACAGACAGCTCCTCATCTTTTCAAGTTTAATCATAAGATTGCAGCAATTCAATCGTATCTTCAGGCTCCACTTCTAATTCTGATTCTCTTGTTATTTCTACCACACCTGCAGTTATTAATACTTTCTCTACTAAAGTCTTAAACCCCTTAAAGTCATCCACGAGGGTTGGAATCAGTTTCTTTCAAACTCCTGTTAATGTTGATGTTTTAAAAATTTTTAAATTTCTTTAAGAGACAGGTTCTTGCTTTGTTGCCCAGACTGTAATACAGTGGTGCAGTTGTAGCTCACTGTAACCTTGAACTCCTGGGCTCAAGCAGTCCTCCTGCCTCAGCCTCCGAAGTAGTTGGGACTACAGGCATGAGCCACAGTGCCCAGCCTAATGTTGATATTTTGACTTTCCGTGAATCGTGAATGCTCTTAATGGCATCTAGAATGGTGAATTCTTTCCAGCAGATTTTCAATTTACTTTTCACACATGTATTAGAGTAATAATAATCTATGGCAGCTGTAGCCCTATTAAATGTTTTTCTTAAATAATAAGACTTGAAATTTAAAATTACTTCTTGATCCATGGGCTGCAGAATGGATCTTGTGTTAATAGGCACGACAACAACATTAATCTTGTAAATCTTCGTCAGAGCTCTTAGGTGACTAGGTACATTGTCAATGAACAGTATTATTTGGAAAGGAACCTTTTTTTCTGAGTAGTAGGTCTCAACAGTGGCTTAAAGTATTCAGTAAACTATGCTCTAAACAGATGTGCTGTCATCCAGGCTTTGTTGTTCTATTGATAGAGCACAGGCAGAGTAAATTTAACATAATTCTTAAGGGCCCCAGGATTTTTTGGAATGGTAAATGAACATTGGCTTTGACTTGAGGTCACCAGCTGCATTAGGCCCTAACAAGAGAGTTAGCCCATCCTTTGAAGCTTTGAAGCCAAGCATTGACTTCTCTCTAGTTATGAAGGTCCTAGGAGCCATCTTATCCCAATAGGAGGCTGTTTCATCCACATTGAAAATATGTTGTTCAGTGTAGCCAATTTCATCTGTTATCTTAGCTGTATCTTCTGTATAAGTTGTTGCAGCTTCTACGTCAGCACTTGCTGTTTCACCTTGCACTCGCGGAGATGGTATCTTTCTTTAAATCTTATGAACCAACCTCTGATTGTTTCAAGCATTTCTTCTGCAGCTTCCTCACCTCTCTCAGCCTTCGTAGAGTTGAGGAGAGTTAGGGCCTTGCTCTGGATTAGGCTTTAGCTTAAGGAATGTTTTGGCTGGTTTGATCTTCTATCTAGAGCACTAAAGCTTTCTCCATATCAGTAATCGGGCTGTTTTGCTTTCTTGTCATTCATGTGTTCACTAGAGTAGCACTATTAATTTCCTTTGCATTCACAACTCGGCTAACTGCTTGGTACAAGAGGCCTGCCTCTCAACCTGTCTTGGCTTTTGGCATGCCTTCCTTTCTAAGCTTAATCATTTCTAGCTTTTGACTTCAAGTAAGAGATTCTTCCTCCTGAAATGATTATTACTGATTCAATTCAAAATTATTAACAGAAAACAGTTTGCTCGGGTTGTTGTGAAAAGTCCTCGAAGACCTAAGCTGGAACTTCTTCTCTGCCACTTAACTACCTCTTTGACCTTTTCCCAGGGACCTACTCTCAGCTTTCTTGTCTGTGAAATAGAGATAATGAAAGTTTCTGGCAGGGTTACTGAAAATAAGAAATAATTTTTTTTTAAAGGCCCAAATAAGAGCAGTCCTATTTAGCTCACAGAATCACTGGTAATTCTCCATTCTGGTTAACTTGCTTCTGTGAATATAAATAGTGGAAATACTGAATATGAAATATTGCTTAAATCTGTTTATAAACTGTTATCTTCCTGAAACTCTTATCCTGTGAATTATCTTTTAAAAAAACTTTTTGGAAGTAATTTATTTAGTCTGATTACTTGTATGGCTTATTAATCATTGGTCATAGTATAAATAATTTGATTGGTTACAAAACTGAGAATTGAGCAATTGTATTCAGTCAAATGTAGATTAACCAAAAAATATCTTTTGACTAAATCATGTAGAACAGTTACTATTTGGAGCTTTATTTACATTTTAAGCTCCTTCTTGGTTACTCTTATTCAATCCTATGTATCAAAACTGGAAATATGATGAAGGCTAGTATAATTACACCAAAATAGCTTTGATGCAGAACTTTCATTTAACACGGTAGTTTGAACAGTCATCTTTGCTGAAAACCCACTAAAATGATAATAGAGAACTTTTTAAAAATTATAATTGAAAAGAACAAGAAGAATGGAAGAACAAATAACAATAGGTGAGAAATGACATCAACATTTTGGAAGATGGAAAGTG